TTTAGTGAGTACTCTTTAGTGTGTTTAGTGAGTACTCTTTAGTGTGTATAGTGGGTACTGTTTAGTGTATTTAATGACTACTATTTGGTGTGTATAGTGTGTTTAGTGAGTACTCCTCAGTGTGTTTAGTGGGTACTGTTTAGTGTATTTAATGACTACTATTTGGTGTGTATAGTGTGTTTAGTGAGTACTCCTCAGTGTGTTTAGTGGGTACTCGTCAGTGTGTATAGTGAGTACTGTTTACTGTGTTTAGTGGGTACTGTTCTCTACTGCTGCACTACTCCAGACACAAAGTCGTTCTTATCAACAAATGTAAATCTTTTTGATATAACATTGTTTCTAAAGTTCCGTTATGAAGAGAGGAATGTCCTCCGGGTCATGTGACCACATCATCAGCATCATCCTTTGTTTTTGGGACGTGTTGTTTCAGCCACGACTTACTGCTGAAATTCCTCCCGTTAATGTAGTTTATTAATAATCTAATATCCTGTATGCATCTTGTCTATCTCTGCAGTTATAAGAGGGTGGTGTATACGTACAGACTGCTGCAGACACACACTGGACACTACACGCTCATGGTAAACACACACACACACACACACACAAACACACACACTGTGTGAATACATTTAGGGCCATAGTCTCGATCCACGTCGCCCCTTTGCATGGATAAGGAATTACATTGATCAGATGTGATCTACTTATTAACTGTGGTCTACATGTTGTTTCCATGCCGTCTCTAAACGGTTCCATTCTGACAGAAATGTGACGAGTATTGAAAGTTGGTGTTTTTCTCTGACTTCTTTACTCTGTAATCTCTGTAACTCTAGATCATATTTCATTATGACAAAACGTTTCAATTTACATTTATTCAGCAAGTAAAAAAATTAAAATCCACTGTGACGTCTTTAAATGTCTTGTTTTGTCGAGCTGTAGTTCTTTATTAATAAAACTGCCTAAAAATAGTTACATATAAGCACACATACAGTATAAGTGTAGAGTGCAAACTATGGTTACATGTTAACACTGAGGCCATTACCTCAATGTCCTCAGTGGCAGCAACAGTTCTGCTGAGAGAAAAACACACAATGTAGAGGAAACCAAACCAAGTGTCTCGGCCACACTGACCATCATTCATTCTCTCCCTGTGTGTGTGTGTGTGTGTGTGTGTGTGTGTGCGTGTGCGTGTGCGTGTGTTGTCATGGTAAAATATGGTCCTCCATGGAGACACCGACTGTAGCAGGAAGTACCACAGAGGATGTTTGAAGTACTAGATGCTAGTTTATTTGTTTTATTCTTAATATTTCCACTTCCAACACAAAGTCAACATGATGAACATTGTTTGATTAAAATGGAGAAAAGAAAAGATAAATCTTTTTTAGAGCCTGATGTAAATCATTAACATCGCTCATATTCTCTAATTATTTAGTCTAAATATACATTTTATCATCATCAGCTGATCTTAACACAAAAAGACGTCTTTACATTTTCAGGCTGATCGAACTAACAAAGTAAGAATGTTCTGATGCACCGTTTGTGTTTCTCTTTTCTCATGTTTATTTTGTGGATTTATGTTACTTGCATATATATGTGAGAAGGACAACATATAAGTTCCTTATAATCCAACATATGCTTTGCTTTGTTCATAACAACTCTACAGTGTTTGTGAGAACATCTTCAGTCTGGAGACAACAACATGTTTGCCCTCCTCCTCCTCCTCCTAGAACTGAGATCAGATCAGATAATGGAAACTCAGCCGTTATTAGCTCATCACAGGAAACTCTCTGACGTGTGTTGAGACACAAACACTGTGCATGTTTGTCAGGGGCATATTTTTCCACTCAAAACATCAAGCGTCAATCAAATCTGCACGTTGAGGAAATATTTGAGTAGTTTCCAGATGAGTGAACTTCAGTGATGAAGTTCAAAGGAAATTCAAACTGATTATCAGGCTGTTAAGAGTTTAAATTTACATTTTGATCCAAATTATTTGCCATTTTGGGGCGATTTACATCTTTAAAAAATGTTTTTTATCATTTTTTTTACTTCATGTTTTTATTTTCCACTCCAAATATATATTGTTGTGTTTCCACTTCTATCTAAATATTCATTTTCCCACATGTTGTTAGATTTTAGAGCTGAAACTACCAGTTGATTGTCAACTCTTTTTGAGAATTAGTTAAATGTTTGCTCCAGCCTCTTCAATGTGAGGATTGTTGTTTTGTTTTATATGATTTTTAACGGATGATCTTTGGGTTTTGGGACAGTTAAAGACGTTACACTGGACATTTGTAATGTTCTCCTTCACTTCCTGTTTGTGGCTTTCAGCTGCAAGCCCATTGGTTCCTACTGAAGACGAAAATCTTTAAAAAAACAACAGCTCTCAAATATATAGTTTCATTTTTAAAGCAGCTGGTCGCTGTAGTTCTTATTAAACAAACAATAGGGACTTTGTTGGGGACTATTTTCAGCGGCGGATGAATCCGCATTTGGTGCTCTAGTGAGTGTGTGTGGCAGCAGGACGTGTGTGAGGGAGAGAGGAAAATTAAAATAATAAAAATAGTTAGTTCCAGCCTCTTCTGTTTTATATGATTTCAAACTGAATATCTTTGGGTTTTAGACTGTTGGTCCAACAAAACAAGACATTTAAAGACGTCACATTGGACTTCTATCGTTTCATTTTATAGAAACATTCAGGGTTCCTCTCATGTTCTTTCTCTCCTCCTTTGAGACTCTTTGCTGCTGTTGTTCCTTCAGACTGCAGGAGGTTTGGAAGAGACATTTTTTAAGACTTTGGACGATCTGATCCGTCACTATAAGAAGAAGAACCAGGGCCTGACCATGCACCTGCGCCACTCCGTCAAAAGGAAGACGGCCATGTTGGTGAAGCCCGAAAAACCTCCTGAATCACCGGAGTCCCAGAGGAGGCAGTCGCCTTCACCTGAGGACGACCCCGACTATCAGAGTACGTCACTTTAACCTCCATGTCTTCCTTCTCACAGCATCCTGTGGATGTTTGACCGTTTCTTCATTTCCCTCCAGATGTTCCTGACTCTGACTACATCGAAGTCTTGCCTCCTTGAACGTCTCTGACATTTAAGCTTCAAACATGTGAGGAGAGAGAAAAAGTCTCTAACTGTTGGATTCAATTCAGAATAATGATCGAAGGCACTTTGACAAATAGGCACACGCTGAAGAAGAGGACTCTCCGTCTGCTTGTACGTCTGTAATTAACAGTGGAAATGTGGGTCGGTCCTCCGCTGTGGTCCAGACTGAACATTCGTGGTCCCCTGAGGATGAACCGTAGTCACTTCGGTGATGCTTTCACTTTTCATTTACTTCCCTTATCTGGTCAAATAATTTGTTGTTGTTTGCAAAACTCATGACTTTGTGTTTAGCACTATTTAGCAAACGATAGCGTGCTAAGATGCTAAGCTAAGATGGTGAACGGTCATCCTTTAGAATCAGCATGTAAACGTGCTAATGTTAGCATCAGTGAAAGTACTCCGATGTTTTACTTATTAAGTAGCAATACTATATTACAGAAATACTTTGTTACGTAAGTAAATGTCCTGCATTCAAAATTGTACTTAAGTAAAAGTATAAAAGTATTAGCATCAGTCCCGAAAGTAAAAGTACTCATTATTTAGACTGACTGAATCATATATATTATATACTAAATTATAGTTATAGATGCATTAATGTTTCAGCTGGTCAAGTTAGAGCTAACATTTTAACTACTTTATGTATTTATATTTTCGTAATACCACAACTTCATCATCATTGTCGAAACGCAGCACGCAGCTTCTGGTTGTATTTCATATCGCAGAACAAAATCTCTCCAGCTGGTGTTTATTCAGATGTCTAACCACAAACACCTTAAAAAACACAGACAGGAAGTGTTAAAAGAGTCATATCTGCATTTTAGGACTTATTCCTGCAGCTCTCTATTAAGTGTCATGATTTGCATGTGACACATCCAAACTTTAACGCATGTGGAAACTCTTGACATATCAGCAGTTCTGCCATGCAGTCATCCAACAGAAGCTCAGTTTCAGTTTGTCTCAGACTGTTGTTGACCATCAGCCTTTGACTTGAGAAACGAACCACTGGGACCACTTGAACCACGTGTAGCTTCGAGCTTAAAACATTTATTGGTCATCAGAGCCGAGATGAACGTAGAAAGGTTTTACTTTATTCTTATTTATTTATGAAAGCACCAGAAGCATCAAGTGGCAGTTTTCTTCGTATTTTATTTTTCTACTTCTCCACAAATTCCATGAAATGACAAATAAACTGTTTCTCAATACTTCTGACTTCCTTGAGGTGTTCAGACGCTACACACTGATCAGCATGTTCAAAGCATCAAGTACCAGTCTGATCTGCACACATGCAAACATTTTAAATCAAGTTCAAAGGAAATTAAAAGTGATTATCAGACAGAGTTTTAGATTCAAGGCACAATTTTGAATCTACATTTTTAATCTATATATATTGTTGTTTTTCCACTTTTATCTAAATATTTCCCTCTTTTTGCTTCTTTTTCGCTTCCCGCACGTTGCTGTTAGATTTAGAGCTCAAACTATTAGTCGATTTATCAGAAAATGAATGGTCAGCAGTTTTTGATAATTGGTTAATTAGCCTCTCCAACGTGTTTCTCTGTTTAATATGATTTTAAACTGATTATCTTTTGGGTTTTGGACTGTTGGTCCAATAAAACGAGACAGTTAAAGATGTCATCTTGGACATTTTTTTGTTTGTTTTTTTCTTACAGCAACAGTCCGTCTCTCAATACTGTCTCACTTCCTGTTTGTGGCTCTCAGCTCCGAGCACATTGGTGTCCACATAATCCACATTTGGTGCTCTAGTGAGTGTTTTTATGTGTGACTGAGTCAAAACAAACTCAAGTGTGTTCATGATGATGAAGGAACATGTCAGCCAGTGTCACAGTGTTGTTAATGGGAGGAGACTGTAGATACGTGCTTTATTGGTCTGTCTATATTGAGCTACAAATACATTGATTTATCCTGGATGTTGTTTAAATCCAGTGATGAGCTGCAGCGAGTTATTAGTCTCCAAAGATAAAGAAACAGTTTAATTCTGAGCATTAAGGAGCAGCGAACGAATCATTCTGAGACCCTGAAAACACGTTTTCTTAATAAACATTTTCTGCCAAAGTTAGTTTACTGCACCGGAGATATGTAATCATGTTAAGCTCTTAATTAATGATGCCTGCTGTTATTATTAAGTTTGATTATTCTATGTTATAAATAAATACTTCTCTTAAAGAGACGAAACATGTAGGAGATTTTATTCATAGTTTTTAAAGCAACATGACGCTGTAAAACCAAAAGTATGAACGTTGGAAGTGCTATGATGCTTTTTCAAAGAGCATGAAGACAATATTTAATGTTGTATAAGCTGCATTAACAGACAGACGGGTTGTGGGGTAAGATCACGTTGTCAAACTGTTTGTGAGTCTGTAACTGAAGTAGTTTTGACGTAGAATCAGTTTGTTAAAGTAAACGTAAAAGAAACAGAAAACAAAATGTCTTGTGAACAAACCCTTCAGTGCTGAGATCTTGACAGATATGAAGCTTCAGTTCTGTGAAAGCACGTGACTGATCGTATCCGAGTGTCTGGACATCACGTTTACATTCAGCAGCAGGAACACGCGCTCTGCCTGCTGGTGTCACGTCATCTGTTTGTGTTTCACTTGTTTCATGCAGTGAAAGGGCAAAATAAAAACATTTTAATGTATTTCTATGCAGACAGGGATATATCATAAATATGAATTTGTTTTCTAAAATGTCATTCTTGCAGACGCAACAAATCTGAATTCAGAAGAATGTTAATATTTTGAGAAAGTAAAGGAGACTCAACAGGTTGGATGAAAGCAAACCAGGTCTGTGTGTGTGTGAGGACAACGACAGCGCCGCACATCCTGTGTCTGCTTTCACACCGTTACAAGCTGCTCACCAGACTTCACACTTCACGGGCCTCTTCTGTTAAAGCATTGCTTTCACTGAGAACAAGAGCAACATATTCGTGTTTTGGGGCGATTTATTGCACATTTGCACAAGCTTCTGTCTGTTTAATGTGTGTGTGTGTGTGTGTGTGTGTGGGGTGGGGGGGGGGTGGGTGTGTGTGAGTGAGTGCGTGTGAGTGCGTGTGTGTGTGCGTGTGTGCAGTTTTTGACCAAACAAGTGCAGAAGAAAACAACTGAGACACATGAGAAGCAAAAACAAGCGGTCAAACCACAGTTTCCACTCACAGATACAGAAGCAGCTATAAACGTCTACAGCTCACTTTTATATATGCATACATTATAGATATACTGTATATATATATATAATATATATAATATATATATATACAGTATATATATTATATATATATATATATATATATATACTGTATATACAGTATATATATATAATATATATACTGTATATATGTAATATATATACATCCACCATTGGTCTGAAAAATCTTGATTTTATGAAAGTAGATTGTGGAACGTGTCATGAACACGTGTCATCTGCTCAGGACACTTTTATTTCATAACAACAAACATGATTTCACTGACACGTTACATTTAGTTGGTGTTGATAACAGGTCGATATTATCAACCTATCACAGGTTATCAACACGACCAGCTGATGAGTAAGAAGAAATGGGGTTGACATGCGTGACAGGACCTTTTGTGCACCGTGCTCTGTTTTCAGTCGGATGCAACATTTCTAATGACGGCAAACGGCCGAACACATAATACAAAGGAACAAGAGAAGACATGCTATATGGACAAGTTTACTTTTCAAACTGTAAAACGTCCCACTCATCTCGGCCACAGCTCTTTAGTGACCACATGTGAACCTTATTGTAATGTGGGCTTATGTGTTGTTCATGCTTTCAAAGGAGGCAGAAAATGTGTCAATATATAGTTTTTTACTCTTAAATATCCATCTTGACATCTGGTATTGGTTGAGTTTAGCAGATATATTAGTTGACCCATTGTTAGTTATCAGCAAGCAGCCAAATGTCACTTCTACTACAGATATAAACAGTTTACTAGACTGTAAGTGTCTGATACAATCAAACAACAGTACTCTAATATAAATACTCAACAGCCCTACAGTACATTCATTTTTGTGAAGAAAAATAAATATATATATATGTGTATATATTGTGGCAGACATACCAAAGTTTTTTGTTCAATTTTGATGCAATAACTTTGAGCGGATGTGTACTGGACTGGAACTTTGTTTAACTAGGATGAAATAAAATAAAACATCTGTATAATGGAGTACATTGTGCAACACCACTGAGCAGAGCAGAGAGCTGATAAATGATGATAAAATATTGTCATTATTATTATTTTATTATAATTGATGATAATTTATTTTATTATATTTAATTTGTATTATATTCTATTTTATTATTTTTTTATTTTTTTATTTTTTGCTATATCATAATATGTTGTATAAACATATTTTATTATATTATATGATTTTATTATATCTTAATATTTCTATTATATTTTATTGTCTTATATTTTTATATTATTTAATTAAATGTATTAACTTCAACGGCTGGTTATGCTCCATCCCGCCTACCTCACGTGACTCGCATGGCCGCGCCCAAGACAGACACAGAGGGTAATGTATGTTTTTACTTCGCTTGATTTATCTGATAAATCTCACATCTAACTTGTGAATGCTGTTGGATTTAGAAGTACAAGGAGTTCAGTCGTACAAAAATATTAATTTATATCATACACGAATGAATATAAGCTTTATAGCTGGAGCATTACACCCCTCCGCCTTTTCTCGTACATGGTCCGTTCCTTCCCGTTCAAAGCTGGAGGCGCGAGGAGGCAGCTGCCGGTTGTTGTTGTTTTTGTTTCCTAGGGAAGAAGAAACATCACAGGTATTCTTCCACAAACAAACCAGCAAGAACAATATTTAATGTAATCGTTTAAAGTATACAAGCACCAGTCAAGAATGTTAATCCACGTTTGAATATGTTATGAAACTGTTAGCTTGTTAGCTTAGTGTTAGCATCAAAGATGGACGGTGTAAAAACACGTCAGCTACTTTGTTTTTAAACGCATTGATTTGCCCACACAGGATGGACATGACGACGTGTTTGAAGTCTCTGTTGCTGGCTGTCCATCAGTACAGAGACGGAAGGACAGCGCAGAACGCGGCGCAGCTCCAGAGACTAGTGGAGGTGAGTCCAGATGTTCAGTCCTCTGACCTTATGACCCTTCATGGTGACCACACTGAGTGGAGGTGAGACCAGATGTTCAGTACTAGGGTTACCACGATGGTGGTTCCATCTACAGCCACTACATCATGAGATGATTGATTTGGGAGGTGTTCTGGGCCTCGTAGAATAAGATGAGTTGTGTATCATCCAGGTGTTTGTGTCTTTAAGGATGCTTGAACTCCGTGACTAACTTTGGTTCTGCATGGAAGAGCTTAGTGTGGTTCCTTTAATGCCAGTCAAATGTTCTTGTCTCTGTAATAGGATGTGAAATACTGAGTCCTTTATCTGATGTTATAAGATGTCATTAGTGATTCTCACACAGTGTGAGCTTTACTGAGAGTCTGTTGACTATGTTGCGTACCGTGTACATGCATGTTGTGGTGTGTGTGTGTTTACAGGAGATGTCAGGCCTTAAATGTGACCAGCTGCTGTCCTCGGGTCAGGTTATGCCCCGCGAGTGTGTGAGGGGGCTGTTGGAGCTGTCTGGAAACCCGAACACCAGCCCCACCCTGACGAGCTCCATCATCTCTCTGCTGTCACAACTCGGTACGCGTTTCACACCACACACACACACCACATACACACACACACACACACACATTAAAAAACCTAAACGGTAGTTTTTCCTGGTGGCGTCACAAAGGAACAGGAGCCGGTGTCAATTTAATGTTCTGGCAATTTTGATAGCTTAAAGTCATGGGTATATGAGCCCTCTTAGTTGGTCCCTTAATAAGATAGTGAAAGTAGAAAGCAACAGATCAGTGAGTGTGAGTCCTGAGGCAGAAAACTGAACTGCCGGCTGTTTCTGAACCTAAAACTCTTTGTGTTTTATACCCACCTCTCTCTCTCTCTCTCTCTCTCTCTCTCTCTCTCTCTCTCTCTCTCCCCCCTCCTCCCTTCAGCCTGTGACGACGACAGTCTGGAGATTCTCAACAGCAGATACAACCTCACCAGCACCCTGGCGTCTGTAGTCCACTGCCACAGCACCACACCGGGGGAGCCCCTGGTGCTGCAGGTAAGTCCAACCCTCAGCATCAACGCATGACCTCACTCTCTTCTGTGTACACTGCGTTATCATCAGTAGTCATGTTAAGTGCTACCGTCAGAATGTTTGTTGCTTTACTTCCTTGTTCACAAAGCTTCTTCATCGTGTTTTCAAGTAAAAATAAAGGCTGAGCATGCAGATGTAACCTGGTACATGTTTGAATAAAATACATTAAGGAACCCTTAATAAATGACTTCAGAGAGAGACATGTTGGATTTTTAAACCTGACTTTGTAATGTTGTCTCGTGTGTATCGTTCAGTGTTTGCAGCTGCTGCAGAAACTGACGTACAACACTCGCGTCTTCCAGTCGACCAACTACATCCACGAGCTCGTTGCTTTTCTCATCACCAACATGTAAGAACCTTCCCGGTGTGATCTGCTGAATGACGTCTCTTCTCTGTCGTTGAACTAATCACGTGTCTCTGGCTCTTACGTCACAGCCAGTCTCACAATGACGACATCATCATGCCGTGCCTCGGCCTCATGGTCAACCTGTGTCGAGACAACCGCTCCGTGCAGCGCCACATCAAGTCTCTGGTGAGTCTGAGTGGAAGCAGACACTCGCTTACGCTCACCTCATCACAGATGACCTGGTCGACAGGAAATGAACTGGGATCTGTTTTAACAATCAAATCAAATAGAATTTAATGTTTCCGGGGTTTGGACTGAAAAAACGAAACATTTGAAGACGATTGAGAAACAAAAGAAATCTGTACAGGCAGCTATTAGTCAGTATTTATTATATATTAGTTAGATATCTTAGATTTCTTCTTATCTGGCGTCATGATGACTACGTCCACTTCTTCTATTCAGTCTGTTAGTTTCATGCTTTGTATCTGAACTATGCTAAAGTGCATCGTCCCAAACAATATGGCCGTCTATTTGTGTGTTTGTGTTTTCTTTGCAGGACCACGTGAAGCCTTTCTACAGAACTCTGATCAACTTCCTGGCCCACAACAGTCTGACTGTGGTGGTCTTCACGCTGTCCATCCTGGCCAGCCTCACTCTGAATGAGAAGGTTGGAGAGAAGGTAGGAGGGAAACATACACCGTGCACCTTTATGTTATCCTCATCGCTGAGCGATACGAGCCAGAATCATACAGGGCTTTTCAAATCCTTATAACGATATATATATATATATATATACTGTGTATATGCTGTGTATATATATGTGTGGGTGTGTGTGTGTGTGTTTCCTGCAGCTTTTTGATGCCACAAACATCCACCAGACTTTCCAGCTTGTGTTCAACATCATTGTGAACGGAGACGGCACTCTGACGCGAAAATACTCTGTTGACCTTTTGGTTGACTTGTTGAAGAACCCCAAGATAGCAGAATACCTCACCAGGTACACACACACACACACACACACAGCCTTAACCTCAGTGTTCTTCGCTTCACGGCTCTGCTGACCTGAATTAAAACCACTTTTCCATTTCAAGGTATCGGCACTTCTCGGCATGTGTGTCTAAAGTTTTAAGACTGCTTCAATCCAAAGACCCCGACTCTGCAGCCAAGGTGCTCACGCCGTTTCACACGTCACACGTTATTCTACGCTGCGTACCTTAATGTAACTTTCCTACAACTAGACAGCGAAAGCATCACAGGTGTTTTAATGTGAGGCTCTGCAGGAACCACCGAGCTTTTTTGGTAAAATAAACTTGTAACCGTGTTATTTGGGCTTTATTATATAGAGGACAGTAGAGCAGTGACAGGACATTAGGGAACAGACTACAAAACAGAACTACAGCTAACATATTGTCTTGATTGATTGATTGATTTCAGCGTTTGGTGTGTAAGATGTCAGACACTAGTTTGAATTCACTCCGTCTTCATCCGTGTGTTGGTTGCAGGTGTTGGAGCTTCTCCTGGCCATGTGCAGCGTCTCCGGGCTGCGTCCGCTGCTGTGTGAGGTGGTTTTCAGGCCGGTGGCAGGACACAAACTCGGGGGGGCGGGCCGCAGCAGGCGGGGGGTCGGAGCGGACGACGGACGCAAGGCCGAGTCCGGGCTCTCCCTGGTGCAGTGGCTCAGCTCGCCGGTGGAGGGCGCCGAGTCCTGCTCGCTCCAGACCCTGCAGCTGCTCAACGAGCTGCTGGAGGTACGGAAGAAAAAAGACAGTTAATTAAGAAAAGAATCGACATTGCTTTGTTATTGTGTTTGAAAATGTTAAAAATCTTATTGTTTACTTGCATTTCTTCCTGTATTTGATAAGGACATGAGAGCAGCAATGACATACAACAAAACTTGCTACATAAATGGATGGTACATTAAAAACTCATGAAAGCGGAGAATATATCACACACTTCAAAACATTTCTTTTCTTTTTTTCTCCATAATTTGCAACATTTGCTTCTGTCACTGCTGCCCTTGTGTTTACCCTCTAAACTTGCCTCCGACGTGACGTTCGTGTTGGACTCTGTAGGTCTTACTCGGGTGTGTTTGTAGCTCCTAACCTCACTTTGTGTCCTCCTCTGTCTCGCTCCAGGAGGCGTTGGGATCAGACTCTGTGTCTGAATGTGTGCTGAGCTTCGTAGAGATGTTGCTCCCCGTCCTGTTGGGGCTCCTGAGGGGCCTCGATCCTTCACAGGGAGACGCTCACCTGAGAAAACACTGCCACCGCGTCACCCACGTCACCAGCCTGCTGCTCGATATCCTCCACCGGACCGTCAGCTGGTCTGTGTTTGTATTTTATTATCAATGTGTTTGTCTTTGAAGCCTTAACTCCTCCACTCCTGTGCGCCGAGGACTCCACCAGATCCTTGGTGTCCCGTCAGGTGAGCGCTCAGCTCGGCCTCTCGCAGGTGGAGTCCCTCCTCTCCCTCGCCTGCAACCCCTCTGGCTCTGACAGCGACCTCAGGTGAGCGAGTGCTGCTGTTATTAAATGAATAGATAGAAATGTACAGTAGTCAGAGTAGAAAGGTGGCAGGTGTTTACCAGCAGGTTCCTTATTTATTTAGCTAACTAATACATGTATTTATTTATTTTAGTGTACAATCTTAGTTGAAATACATTCATTTGTTTGTAGAAAAAAAAGTAGCAATGACTGAGCTACCTTCGTTGTGTGTTTGTGTTTCAGTCAGGTGTGTGCAGACGCTCTGCTGAAGACTCTCGAGTTGATGAGTAAACTGAGACAACAGGTGAAGGACATGGAGACCAGCTTCTACAGGATGCTACAGGTAAACTCTCTTTGTCTCCGTCCTGTTCTGTAGTTTTCTCTGATTGTCTCTGATTGTCTCTGTGTCTTCATGTCTCAGGACCAGAGGATAGTGACCCCCCTCTCTCTGGCGCTGACGTCCCACCACAGAGAGCGCGTTCAGACCGGACTGTCTCTGTTGTTTGAAGCCTCCCCCCTCCCAGACTTCCCCTCTCTGGTGTGAGTGAATAGTTCTCTGATAAAAACACTGTCATCATGTCTGGAGATTACACAAAGAAGGACATTTTGTTTTGAGATGCTTTAGAAACAGGAGGTCTGAAATCTACATGTGAGTAAATATCTTGCAGCCAAATCAAAGTTTACAGAATATTCAACCTTTGTTTCTTTATAATGCTTTTAATACTTGACTTCTTTCTTTACAGGACTTTTATAAAGACAATAAAGTAGTTCATGAATATGAGATATGAGTATACAGATAGTTACCATCCTTCCTCTACATATATATACTGTGTGTGTGTGTGTGTGTGTGTGTGTGTGTGTGTGTGTATATATATATATATATATATTTCTATTTCTATTCTCTTTACTTCTATCTTTTACAGGATGCGTTCACCTCTTCATGTTTCTAAAAATCCTTTAAATGGAACGATCAGAGAAGAAAAATAACTCCTCAAACTATTCACAACTTATGTTCATATTAACTTTAGAAGTTAAATACATATAACACGTCTGAATGTCTACAGTTGGTGAAATGTGTTACGTATATAAACCTTGTGTAACAGAGTAGTTGTATGTTTCATTAATGGAACAATGTTCTCTCAAAGTCTGGGAGAAAGTATGGCCGCCAACAACGCCTATCGCCAGAGGGAGGCTGAGCTGTCCGTCAAACGCGTTGCCGTGCAGGAAGTCCCGCCCTCCAGCATACTGGACTGTTCCAGTGGTTCCAGCAGGAGCATCCACAGTCTGGTGGACAAGATACAGAATGGCTTAGAGGTAGTGTGTGTGTGTGTGTGTGTGTGTGTGTGTGTGTGTGTGTGTGTGTGTGTGTGTGTGTGTGTGTGTGTGTGTGTGTGTGTGTGTGTTTTCTTTGAATCTATAACATTTAGTTGGTTTTTATTTTGGTGTTTTAGCTTCTTCCATTGATGCATTAAGGCACTGGAGCCTATTTAGTATAAAAGCATCATTTACAGTGTTTTAAACATTGGTATTCATGCTTTTATTTGTTTCATAATATAGAATCTGAAAGTCGTGCTTTGAGGTTAGAAATCTTCTTTGTGCTGAAAGTACTGAGGTGAACTCTTGTCTTCAGCTGTCTCTGTCTCTGTCTCTGTTTCTGTCTCTGTTTCTGTCTCTGTTTCTGTTTCTGTCTCCGTTTCTGTCTCTGTTTCTGTCTCTGTTTCTGTCTCTGTCTCTGTCTCTGTTTCTGTCTCTGTCTCTGTCTCTGTCTCTGTCTCTGTCTCTGTCTCTGTTTCTGTTTCTGTCTCCGTTTCTGTCTCTGTTTCTGTCTCTGTTTCTGTCTCTGTCTCTGTCTCTGTTTCTGTTTCTGTCTCTGTCTCTGTTTCTGTCTCTGTCTCTGTCTCTGTCTCTGTCTCTGTTTCCGTCTCCGTCTCCGTCTCCGTCTCCGTCTCCGTCTCCGTCTCCGTTTCTGTCTCTGTCTCTGTCTCTGTTTCTGTTTCTGTCTCTGTCTCTGTCTCTGTTTCTGTCTCCGTCTCCGTCTCCGTCTCCGTCTCTGTTTCTGTCTCTGTTTCTGTCTCTGTTTCTGTCTCTGTCTCTGTTTCTGTCTCTGTCTCTGTTTCTGTTTCTGTTTCTGTCTCTGTCTCTGTCTCTGTTTCTGTCTCTGTTTCTGTCTCTGTCTCTGTTTCTGTCTCTGTCTCTGTTTCTGTCTCTGTCTCTGTCTCTGTTTCTGTCTCTGTTTCTGTCTCTGTTTCTGTCTCTGTCTCTGTTTCTGTCTCTGTCTCTGTCTCTTCTCTCATGTTGGTTTGTAGCTGCAGGAACACGAGAAGGACTCCCACGTGTCTCAGATCATCGACGTTTATGAACAGAAGCTCTCAGCGTTTGCGGTGAGTTTGTTCCACTGGACAAACACTGCTTTATGTTATTTAGTTGTTTTTAATATTGTGAAAGTTCTTTAGTGATTGAAGGAGAAGTAACTCTCCTGCTTCGTATCTTAAATCTTTATGAAGCTTATTATCAGTCGTTGATTGAGTGTTTGTTTTTATACATGGGCACCAAAATCTATAAAGATAAGATATAAGGTAAATAAATCTCATGCATCACAGGATTCACAGAGGTGTTGCAGGGTGGAGGCATTAAACTGGATTAAACTGTACAAAAAGCTTTCTGGTCATTTAAATAACTGTATCCTGAAAATGAGACGACTGGATTACATTTATTGAGTTGAGTCTTTATTGATTGTAGTGTTCTGACGTTTGTGGCTCGTTCAGTTGAACATATCTTATTGTATTTGTGTCGTCAGTCTAAGGAGACTTGTCTGCAGGACTTGTTGGAGGCCAAAGCTCTGGCTCTTTCTCAGGCCGACCGTCTCATCGCTCAGTATCTGTTTGAACGAGCTCAGGCTGAAGCTGAGGTAACACACACACAATGCACTGAGAATGTGACTGTGATCAGATTTATAACCCCACAAGACACACAGGTAAATATTGTCCTAGAGTTTGGTTTTCTCTCTGATTCGAGCTGAATCAGGTAGTTTATTTATCAAATAGTTGTTTGCAACTATTTTGCTAATCGATGAAACATTTTGGGCTGCAGACAAAGCAAACATGGCAACCATTTACTGCTGTTTGTGTGATTGTAAACTGAATGTCTTTTGAAACTGGAGTCTGTGAAAACTGTAAAATGATGAATCAAGAACAAATGCAGATGAATCAACATAGCTCTGCTTCAGAACTCAGGTCGTATCACGATGATATTTAGACTAAAATAAAGAACTCAGCTTGGACTAAAGGTCTCAGATTTTATTCTAGATTGTTGCTGGAATATGAAACTTAGACATCATAATGTCCAGAATAAATGATTATTACTAATTAAACCTCGTTATTGTTACATGACAGGCGTGTAAGCTGGGCAGCCTGCTGAAGGAGGCGGAGCGGCGTCGTGAGGATCTGCAGGGCGAGCTGAGTAACCAGGTGCAGGAAGTGGAGCTCGCCAAGGCCGACATCGAGGAGCTGCTGCGGCACAACGCCCGGCTGCAGCAGGACTCCGACACACACCAGGACCTCAAGGGAGTCTACAACGCCCTGCTCAACAGGTCAGAGGCAGGAGGCATGCAAGAAATACGTTTTAGTGAATATGCAAGTCGGTTCCCTCAAAATTGCAAAAAATGCAATAATCGCATAATAATTCCACACATTGGTATCTGAATGCAGCATCCTGCAGTCAGCCGTTGTGTTGAGGTTCAGACAGAAGGAAGCGAGTGTAGGAGGCTTCAGCGTCTCACGGGTTGATTTCCTCTTCAGGTTCAACGAGAGCGAGCGGCTGCTGAAGGAGCTGCAGACGGCTCACATCTCACTCACCAAACAGAGCGACGCTCTGAGGAAGAACCACGAAGCGCTGCAGCTGCAGCACGAGGAGTAATCCACACACATCTGCATCCCATCTAAGCAGCTCTATTGTTAACATGAATACTGCAGGAAGCACGCTTTTGATGCTTCAGTCGTCCGTTTCAATGGTTCAGGTTGCAGCGCCCTCTTTTAATTCTGTCTTTGTCAGGACGGCGTCGGGGTTGGAGGAGAGAGAGGAGGAGATCAGATCCCTCCGTTCAGATCTACAGCAGAAGAACAGCGACATCGCAGGTTAGTCCGCCATCAACGTCCAAACAAAGATGTCTTTAAAGCTACTACAGTTAACTTTAACTTAGTGTTGGTTCTGTCGCCCCCTGTGGACTAAAGTGGTCATGTCTCTGAGCACCAGAGTCTCTTTAGAAAACCTCTCATTCTACTGCAGCAGGTCTGACAGTCTGCTCCTCTCAGTCCTGGTTCTGGTTCTCCCGTGCCTCCCTTCCCTCCAGCGGGTCCAGCAATACGTCCTGGGTCTCCAGCAGCGTGGTGTCCGAATGAATATTTTTATCTTTAATGCACATGAAATGTAGAGGATGGTGAAAGAGGCAAAGCTCCTAAAGAGGGCTCCTGCAGGTGTTTCTCCCGGGACAGGGGAGCAGATTTTGGGTATAAATCCAGAGTTCGACCTTTATTTAACAAATATCTTCTTGAATAAATGCTTCGCCTCGTCCCCGTCAGGTCTGCGCGGTGAACTGCGAGCCGAGGAGGAGAAGCTGCAGGAGAAGGACCGAGAGAAGAGAGAGCTGGAGGAGACGGTGGATGTTTTGAGGAAGGAGCTGAACAAGACGGAGCAAGCCAGGAAGGAGGCGAGCATCAAGGTGAGGAAGAGGAGGACTCGTCTACACTTCATTTATGGCAGTTCATCTTTGACCTGTAGTCGGTTCCTGTTCCCAACAAACTTCTGCTCTTAAAGATTCATATTTTCACGTCTTCAAGAGTAATTAAACCAGAAAATATTCACATTCAAGAAGCTGGAATCAGAGAATTTTGACTAGTAAAACAAAGAGTGATAAACAAAAGAGAAACAAGCGCATGAGAACACGTTTAAAGATTGATCTGCGCTGTAGTTTTGGGCCTTAAAGGTTAAAGTATGAAACGTGCAGAGAGTCGTTCACCACGTGAACCCGGTGATGATGCGTTTCCTGTCGTGATGATGCGTTTCCTGTCTTGCAGGCGTCGTCTCTGGAGATGCAGAAGAGCACGCTGGAGACCAAGCTGAAGCAGAAGGAGGACGAGCTGAGCAAACACTCGTCCATGATCGCCATGATCCACAGCCTCAGCAGCGGCAAGATGAAGAGCGACGTCAACCTGTCGCTCTGAGGAGACGAAGACGAGCGACGAAGGACAATAACAGTTTATAAGAAGGAAAACAAAGCTTTATGGACTATGATCTTCACTTTTAAACTTCTTGCACTTCATAACATCTATTAAACTAATATTTTAAAGTTAAAATCTTTGTGCTTTTTATTGTTTGGTATTCATAAGTCCAGATGAAATGTGAATGTGTGCGTTTGCTTTGGATGGTGCGTCTGAGCCGATATATTAATTCCAAACTGCAGAACTCTAACATTGTAAAGTTTTAAATTGTTTACCATTCCTGGAATATCAAAGTGTTTTCAGGTGTTTGTATAAAGTTATGAGGTGATCTGTTGGACACATTCGGAGGTTTAGACTGTTGTTAGTGAACAGTTTATCCATTCAGTCTAAAATGTGCTTTGTTAAACAGTCTCATAAGTTCCTAAAAGTGTTTTCTGAACTTAAGAGCAGATATAATATCAATCATCATCGGGCTTTATGGGTTCTGCAGCCGGCTGTGTTCGTCAGTTTGCTCTCGTCCGGTGTGTCTGCAGCTGCCGCCCGTCACTCACTGCGCCTCTAAAGGGAACTCGAGCCTTCTCCTCCCCACCAGTCAGCCATGGAGCTCCGGCCTGCAGCGCTGAGCGTGCTCCTGCTCGCTCTCATCTCCTCTGGTGAGTGTTTAACTCTGTGTGGTGAAGTCAGGGTGAGCGTCTGACGTGTGTTTGAAGGCCCATACTGACTACGTTAGTGTTAAAGAAGCAAATATCTGGGGTCCGTTGTAAAGATCTCTATTCCAACTCATTTATTTGGTTATTAAAAGGTTGGAACATCCTCTTGTGATTGTTGATATAAACTCTGGGAGTCGTGGAGTCTTTAGTTTTATTTACTTTAAACACGAGTCCTGTCGTTTTATTTATCCTATTCTAACCTTTATGATCGCATGCTTCTTTTGTGTGATATGAATTGTAATGTTTTACTGTAATAGTTTTTAACTTGTATGTGAAGCACCTTGAGATTTCACTTATATCTTAAACTGCTATTTAAATTAAATTCATTTTTTATATTGAGTCGATTGATGTTTTTTAAGTCCTTTAAATTAAGCAAAAATACCAAAAATTCACTGGTCTCAGCTTCAGAAATGTAAATAATAACAGTTTTATTCGTCTTTTATAATAGTTGGACAAAACAAGGAGTTTGAGTTTGTGAAGCTCTGCTTGGGCTTCAGGGGCTTTTTACTGTAATATGACGATTTATAACGGAATCGATGGTCAGATTCATCGATAACTAAACCAGTTGTAAGTTGCAGCGTTACTTTAATCCTTTAAATGAAGAATTAAATGTCAGAAATAAGTAAAAACTATTAAGAATTGCAAGACAAAATGTAAATAAGAGGTTTTTATTGTAGCTGTGAGGAACCTCCAGTGGCTTTGATTTAATGAAGTCAACATACGAGAGAATAAAAACAAAGATGGCCGTGTGTTTGGAGGGTAAATGTCTGCTGGGTACTTGCAGTGTGTACTTGCAGTGTGTAC